ATTTTCAAATATTGGTTCTGGTAGTTTTTTTTTAAACTGTTATAACCTGGGCAATCAACATTTCAATCAATTTTATTTTCAGTGACCTATTATTTAAATTTTAACTTTATTAAAAACCTGTTTTTCACTATTGTCACATGCTATTATTATAAAAACACGTATTTATTATTTCCTATCTATTTTATTGTTCACCATGTTGATTATTACAGTATAACCAGTTAATTATATAATAATTATGAATTATACCTTAACCGATTTACTTGGCGCGAAAAATAAAAACAATAACCTAATTGCACTTAATCTTTTCTTCTGAAGACAAGCGTACTATTCTCTCTGTATTTTTCCATATTTTCTTCACAAACCCATTCTGACAATGAGTAATTTTCTTAGATGCATTTTTCTTTGAGCAATCTACAAAGTACTCTCCGGAAATATTATGCACTTCCGGTGACACCGCGAGGTAAATTGACGTTTGAGCTCCTTCTAGAGGGGTCTAAGAAAAAAGAATTTTGGGAATCTGAAATCGTTATACATACCTATATAACGCAAAACCCCTCCCTCACCCCCATAATATAATCGTAATGTTCGAGTGGAATTTAGCTTACGTAATATACTTTAAATTATAAAATAAAAATAAAAGGTAAAAACAATAATCATATTATATGCTTAATATAATTTCTTCTATAAAAAGGTTTTCCTAGTTTATGTATATGAAAACAGATGAAGTACTTAGAACAAGACAATGAATCCATATACCATAAACAAACAGTTTACCAATAACACTTGGACAGAACCGGATTGAAGATTTTGGCCGGGGGTGCGATATAACCAAATGGCCTGGTTTAGAAGGGAAAGTGCACAAATTTTAACACCACTCGTTTTTAACTAAATTGAAGAAATTAGGGGGAAATTGGCGTTTGTCTTTGCCTCGGTCTTTGCTCTTGTTTTAAAAATCTTTTATACCTTGAAAAATTTATAAATTATATTTAACAATGAAGGATAAAAATATTAATATTTTTATACTTTGTTTTTTGTTTTCCTTTTATAACAAAATTTGAAA